TAACACAACAAAAGAGGGCAATGAAACATATTTGGCATCTTTGGCCAGTGACCAGAAGACTAAAAGTAGAGAATCCAGTTCAATCTGGTTTCATTCGGTCAAGGTCAGGCCTGAGTCAGCTTAGTGTTAGTGGAAGCAAAGGCATGACCTTTATTTGTCCCAAGTAATTTGCAGACTGCTGCTTTTTCTGACTTGAGTAATAATAATAAATTTAAATGTAGTGGCTCTGATGGTGAAATTGAGCCTGCTGGGGTGAACCAGATCCAGAAGTCATAAGTAGATGTCAAATAATGTATGGAGCTTATTCCTTATTAGGATATATAAACACATCATAAGAATGTTCTTGTACAAGCAAAGGGAGAAAAGTAGTCCCAAAGTGAGTAAGTTACAGGGCAATTCGCTGAGGTATTTACATTTAACTTTTTAAAAAATTACAGTAATTCATAGTTGAAGGTTGACTGGTCAGCTTCTGACTTCTTGCTGAGGGTACCAAATAATTATCTCTTTAATTACAAATTCCGAGGTCTGTCCTTCCAACCCCTAAACACCATACTACAGCTTCAACTAGGGTGGGATCAGAAGAAGAGTATGATTAACCGTATCTATTATTAGAATTTAGTTTATCCAGGCTAACCCATCCATTCTACAGACTGAGGAGACTGAGACGGAAAGGCTAAACGACTTTCCACTTCTCTTTGGCATGCACTTCCCTTATTTCCACCTGATGAAATAACCTTCAAGGTCCAGCTCACATCTCCACAAAGCCCTGATGTTAAAGTATTCTCTCCAAATTTTCTTGGAGCACATTTGGCTCTTTCCTTATATAGTTTACTTTGTATTATACTTATTCTCGTGGGAAGGGATTGTTTTTTATCTTTTCCTTCCACAGACAGACCCTGAAAGGTGCTTAATAAGTGTCTATTAAATTAAATGGCTCAAGTACACAGAGAAAGTAAAAGCCATCTGTAAACATTCAAAATCATAAGAGTTGCCATTTGGTCACTTCATAAGCTTTATTTCCAGAGGCTACATGGTGTAATGAGGGAAAAACAAAAAACCTGTCCTATAGTTTGGGGGAGCGGGGCAGGTAGGTTACTAGCTCCCTCCCAGCTCTGACATTTAGTAGCTGTTATCTTCGCCAAGTCGCCACTCTGGGCCTCAGTTCCCTCACTCGTAAAACGAGACTACACTCCCCTCCCTACGCCCCACCCCCTCATTCCTGCCCCGGGCGGTCGGGAGGAAAGAGCCTAGGAAACCTTAGAAAGTTATCATTACTATCCAGATCTATTGAACTGGTTTCTCCAGCTTGGAGCGTCCACCGGACACCCAGTCGGGACCTCTGTCGGGCGCCGGGGGAAACGCACCTCCGGCCACTTCCCGTCAGCGGCTCCGGGGAGCAGGAGGGAGCAGGGCAGGTCAGCGCCCCCCCGCGAGCCCGAGGGGGAAGCCCAAGGCGAGAGGCGCGAGCCCCACGTCCACGTGGAAGAAGCTGCCGCGATCCCGCCCACAAGCGACCGCCTCCACCCCGCTTCTGCCGGGGACCACAAGCTGCCGCCCTGGCTAGAAGGACGGAGGTGGCCCCGCAGACCCGCCACTGGTGCAGGCTGGTGGCAACCGGTTCACGGCCGCGGCTCTGTAAAGACTCTTTTATTCCTCCGAGAAACCGAGAGGTTGAGGAAAAAGAGTCCGGCTGCTGCCGGCTTTCCCTAGGGATGCTCAGACGCGAACCCCGCCCCCTTTCCCACGCCCAGTCAAACTCCTCACGACGTGCGCGCGCCCACCCCCAGCTGCGTTTCTCCTCTTCCCCCTCCTCCCAGCCTCCTCCCGCGCGCTCTCGAGCGGGGGGGGTGAGGGGGGTGTCTTTGGGGATGCGCACGTAGGGCGGTGTGTTGCGTGAGCGCGCGCGACTCCTCTTCCTCCGGCCCGTCACCCCGCCCCCTTCACCCCTACCTCTACAGTCGCCGCCGCTCCCGGGCTCTCTGCCGCCGTCGCTGCCGCCGCCGCCCAGGATCTCACGAAGGAGCGGTCACCGGCTGTGGAGACCGTGCGGCCCAGGCCCAGCACCGGGCGCGGAGCCGGAGGCACACACCGACTAGCCGAGCCGAGCCGGCCGGCCAGATTTAGCCGGGGCAGGTAAGCGTCTGAGGAGAGAGGCCGGGCTGGGCCTCCTGTTCTTGGCGCCGGCGCCCAGGCCCGGCTTCTCCCTCTCCTCCTTCACACGTAGCCCTCAGGCCAAGATGGAGCCACGGGCGTCGGGGGTGGGGAGAGGAGATGGTGCCGCAGCGTCGCCGCCACCGCCGCCACGGGAGAGGGGGAAGGGCGGGGAGCCGGGGAAGCCGAGGCCGGGGGAGCCTGGGGCGTGGAGACCCCCGCGGCGGTGGTGGGGGGAGGATTCCGGCGGAGACACGGACGGGCTTGGGAACCCCGGCCGGGAGGGGAGGACACGGGCACAGGCACTGGGCAGAGCTCCCGGTCTAGGGTACGGGGACACCCACTTGGGGGGACGTAGAAATGAGGAACCTGAGCCAGGAGAAACGGGGGAGGGGACATCGCGCCGAGGAGTAGGGGGAGGGGACGGAGCGGAGAAACCGGAGGGGAAGCTGGGACGGGATGCAATACTGGAGCAAGACGAGTAAGCGATGGAGAGGGGATTTGTTGGGTGAGTGGGAGAAACGGGGTGCAGGGACCTTAAGCTGGGAGGGTCCGCAAGGGGAGACTGGGTGGTGGGCACCCTTGGGGAAAAGGGGTTAAAAGAAGTAATGAAAGAGGGGTATGGAAATGGGGGCATGAAGGGAACCTGTGGAACCTTATGGGGAAAAGTGTAAACCTTCTGGGGCCGTATCTGCTGTGAAATAGTGACAGGCCTGGGCAATAGAAGATTGAGAGTTGTAGATAGGCCTTGGGAAGACTTGATTAAGGATACAGGGAGGTGATGTCTTGGATTTGGTCACTCGTTGGTCCTGTGTTGATGTTGCCTTAGTGAGGTAAGTATCTTGACAAATGATTTTGGGCATAGAGAATGGGGAGGTATTTTCCCTAGGGAATTTGGATGCTAAGATTTTTTTAACCAGAAGGAATATGTCATTATACTATTTCCTTTTAGTACTAGGTCCCTATAATGTTAATTGTATACCTTTTTTTTTTCAAATTGGGGTAAAACCCCAAGGTTATTTTAGTTTAGTCGGTAAAATGCATTTCTTGATGGAAAATGATAAGCTGCAGGGGTTCTAGATTGCTTTTTCTTGTCTAATTCTAATGTTTTCTTGTTTTGTTTTTTTCTTAAGAGTTTGGGTGGCTGGAATTAGACAGGAGGGAGAATACCTGTAATATATTAAGAAGTATCTTTTCCAGTTTTCAGATGGAGGGGTTTGTTTTCATTCCAACAGTATGCCTCAAAATAGCAACTGAAAGAATTGGTGAAGTGGAACTGAAAAATCTTGTACCTTTTCTATTTTGTCTATAATTTGTTGTCAGATATGTTGGAAGAAGTATTTGAGCATGTTGTTATCCCAGAAAAAGTGATAGTAATGAATGCTCTAACCAGATTCTCAAATAGAAAAAGAATTAGACTTCCTGTTTTAGCAGTTTGGGGTTTGATAAAACACCAGCTTACGCATATTATGTAGATTTTGATTTAAGGGAGCCTTGTGGTAGGCAACATGGCTTTGTGAATATAGCAGACCTCAGAGACTGTGAGACTTAGGATGAAGGCTTCTGAGTCTTCTAGATGTGTGAAGTCACTTCTCAATGCCCTAGGCAACTCTCAAAGACTGTAATTGACTATGCCAGTGAAATCACAGTTCTATTCTCTCCCTATCCCTGTCCATATGTTGTAGCATTATTTAGTGTCTTTTTAAAAAAAAAAATTACAGTCTTTAGTGTTGGAAATTCATTCTTTCAATTGAACATGTATTAACTTTCTAAGTAAATTTTAAAATGTAAGGGTTTTAAGTGATTCAAAATATTATATCCAAACTTGTGAAGAATCTGCAGTTTTGACTGTGTAGGGAGCTCCCTCCACCAACCCTTCTGTGACATACTATGTCTAAAAGTATCTTCAAGACATCATATAACTGTGGCAGGGTCTGTATTAGAACCACATTATTTTCAGCAAGCTTATTCGTTATTTTGAGGACTTTTAGGTGTTCATTGGAGCCAAAATTTGATTAAATAAATGGAGGGAGACAAACCTTGTCAAGAGATGCCCAGGGACAATTCTCTTTAGCTACTTAAGGAAGGGCAAGAAATATCAGACCTAAAAAGGAAATTAGAAGTAAATGTTTCATTTTTGTTTTTATTTTCATGTTAAGTGGTTTTGTCCACACTTAAGTTTGAGCTGCTGATTAGATATTTTGACTAGTGGAGCATAGTGTTGTAGGTGTTCTGTTAGATTTCTTAGCTATCTCAGTAGTCACAGAATTTGTCCATTAAAAACTAATTTAAGAGCAAAACCTTGACTGTTTCTATCCATTATCATGTTCTATTTCTATTTCTCATGAAGGTGGAAACATTTTACCCCATATAGAAAGCTAATTGAAATTAGGTTAGTTTGTGTTAATTACTTTGCTGCTTCGTGTGTGTGTGTGTCTGTGTGTGTGTACGTACACATACACACATATATAGTTAAATATTAGTCATATATCATCTTTCACCTGGAAGATAAAAATAAGAAGAAACCTTAACTTCACAATTTGTGGAACTATTTAAATTAGTGTACATAGATTACTGGATCTCTCATTAATGGATTCACTATCGTCTTTCATCTCTGTCAGTACTCTGGGAGATGGGGAAGAATGGTGTAGCAATGTGGGATTAAGTTCCAAACTAAGCTGAAAGTCTATAGGAGAGCCGATTATGTTTGACCTTCTGTGTGGGTATGAGTCTTCACCTGACAGAAAGGACATATCTATTTAGGTGAAGTCTCATCATTGTCATCACTGCCATAACCAACAATGAATGATGAGACAGGACCATCAACAAGAGCTCTAAAGCACAGCCAGTCCACCAGCCTTATAAGGCCTAATTGCCAGCTGCAGTACAGTACTGTTGGACTTGGTGACAGAAGAGCTTCCAGACAGCTCCTTTATGGTAAGTTTTAAATAGGGCAATAGCAGGTAGAGTTTGTGGAAGAACACTATTAAGACTTGATGAAGAAAAACTTGAAGCCATACACTGTAGGTATTGGCCTGTGGGAAGCAAAAACTACCAAAAAAAATCAACTTAAATAACAGGTGAGATAGCCTGTTATTCAGAAAATCAACCAAAAATATTTGCTAATCTCTTATTTGTACACAGTTACGTGCTAGATACTGTCAGAATGAGCCAGTCCTTTTCTTGCTTTCAAAAGCCATATACAACCTATGTGATAAGAAGAGAGCCACCCACAAACAGCAATAGATTTTTCGGATATACCCAGTATTGAAAGGGATACTGGGTCAAGAATCACATTTTTGTTATCATACTTATAAGAAAAGGTCAAAACACTGTAGAATTCTTACTTTTTAATACAAAGAACATAGAATCATAAACAACTATGTAGTGACATCTTGGTGTTTCAGTGGAGTATTTTGGAAATCTATCTGGTTCCCTATTAGTCCCTGTTTTAAAAAATGTTCTGGAAAGGATTCCTAAACATTCTAGATCATTATAAAGAAGACTTCTTTAGCATGGTTCTCTTCAGGATAGGTTTGGAGCACATTAACATTTGTTAATTTGTTAGAGTTTAAGGAATCACCATTCCTTTATAAACCCAGGGCCATGGGGGGATATTCTATTGCTAGTTTCTCAAAATCCTTATTAGATGACATTTTGAACCCTGGAATACTACAAAGCCATTTAAGTACAATTCACAATAATGAAAAGAGCTTGGACCAACCATCCACACTGAAAAGAACACAGTGGATGAAAAATGCATATTGCCCATATTGTAACATGCAGCAGTCCATTCAGTTAGTCCCAGTGTTTAAAGTAAAATATTTGTCTCAGAGGAATGTGGCAGCTGGATTATGAACTGGGCTTAGAATTGAGCAGGAGGAGGAGGAAACTAGGTCGGGTTTGGGAAATGTGTAGTGCTTTCAGTAATCTGACTGCTTCCTCCTGACCCATCTGTTTAACAGTCTTCAAATGGTGATATATAGTTATAAACAATGGGGAATAGTGATCTCAGAAGAATAAAAATTAATGGGAAAAAAGCATTATAAGCTTAAGCAGGTTGTAGACCATTACCAGTGATGGCTTGAACTGAAGATATTGAGTAATTGTGTATTGTGTAAAAGATTTTGAGGGTTTGTATGCCTGGGAAAAGAGGTGTGCCATATTTTGAGAATGAAACAGTGGTTAAACAGTCTGAATGATACATTGATACTCTTGATATATTAACACAAGGAGAAACCTGCTGTTGAGTACTTCCTCTATGAAGTATTTATGGCAAAACACTAACAAAAAAGCACAGAGTTCAAGAACATTTAGACATGTTAGGATAGCTAGACTGAGTATCACACCAATAAAATTATTGCTTTTTCAAAATAAAATGAGTGGAAAGTGTATAGGCCTTAAACCTGTATTATAACCATCTTCTAAATGAGTCTGAACTCCACAGTCGTTCGTTCCTGATGAAATTCATTTTGAGAAAGTGATGCAGAAATTTGGACTTCCTGGTTAGCAGCAATTCTGATCAGGACATAATTATGTAATGGTTTTTCTTGGAGAAAATGAGTAATTTCTTTATATATCAACCTAAAAAGTTGTTACCAACAGGTTACTCTAGGAAGCGTAGTCTATATATCTTAAAACATTACATTACAGTGTATTCTGTATATCTTAAAATGTAGTCCAGGGATGTCAGCAGGGGTCCTTGAAACCCATTCGGGAGTTTGCGAGGTCAAAACTATTTTCATAATAATAACTAAGATATTTTACTTTCCAATATGGTAAATATTGATAGATGTAACCCACATAAACAAAAGCTGGAAGGGGGGGTCTTCAGTAATTCTTATAGAATATAAAGGGATCCTGACACCAAAAAGTTTGCAAACTGTCACTCTAGTCAGACGTTCCCAAAGTGAGCTATACCGCCCCCTGGGGGCGCTGGAATGGTGGGGGGGCAAGCAATAGCCTTGGGTGCAAATGGGGGGCATTGAATAAAAATAAGGGGGCAGTGGAAGCATGAGGAAAGAAGAGAAGGTAAGAAAATTTCGAAAACCATTGTATGATTCATCTGTTGTGTAACAGATTTAAAGTCATACTGATTATATTATTTTCCAAATAAACACACAAGTTATAACTTAAGTTATAAGAGACAAATACTTTACTTTGAACACTGGGACTAACTGAATGGACTGCTGCATGTTACAGTTTGGGCAATGTGCATTTTTCATCCACTTTATTCTTTTCAGTATGGATGGTTAGTCCAAGCTGTTTGCGTTACTGTGAATTATAATGAAATGGCTTTGTAGTATTCCAGGGTTCAAAATGTCTTCTAATAAATTATAACAAGTTATAACCAATCAGTGGTCAAGTCCACTAATGGGTCTTAACAAGCAAGTGTTGGCAGGCAAGTATGTCTCTTATTGTGAGGAAGTCCTGCATTACATGTAGGAATATGTGCATGTAATGACTTGTTTTACAATACAATACTACATGGTTACATGACACAATATTGCATCATCAAAATTTCAGTGCAGGAAAAAACCACAAATTTATAATAAATTATTAAATTTAAGATATGTCAATTTAAAACTATATGTTAGGTATTTTTTGAAATGATGCAACTTTCAAAAAAACCATTTAAAAAAAGTAGATTTCCAGGGGGGCGCTGAGTAATTTTTTTTTTTTTTAAAGGAGGCAGTAGGCCAAATAAGTTTGGAAACCTCTGCTCTAGGGGATTCTTAGTCATTTTTGTTTTTAAACTTTATTTTTCTCTGAAGCAGTTGATACCCTTGAGTTTTATTGTAGAACCTTGTGCTCTACTATCCATGTTTCTTCTGAGGAAGCAGTGTATAATTAAATTTTGTTCAGACATAGCTATACTTTTTTCCTTTCGCACTTATTGGCTTTATCCTCATTAGGGGCATATTTACTTATAATATTTGATAGTAAGCACTGAAATGTCATCAAGTTAGGCATAAGAGATGAGAATAGACTAAACTGATATTTCTAGTACCCACAACAACCTTTTGAAATGGATAATGCAGTAAATAGTATCTCCATTTTACATTTGAGGGAAACTGAGGCTCAGTAACTTGACCAGCTAATAAATGCCTCAGTTGGATTTCAACCAGTCCCCTGTCTCCCGAGTTCATACTCTTTCTATTCTACTGAACTGCTTGTGAAGAAAACAAGTTTAGTACACATGATGTCTATTTTCCTTCCATTTTAATTATAGTAATATTTCTGGTGGCAATTATGATCACATTTCGGTAACTGCAATTGCTTCATAGAACTTCATATTGTGACTTGACACTTTCTCTGCATATTTAACAAAAACATGATCCTCACAATAATGAAATCACTTATCCTCTGAAGTATTTAATACTTGAAAGAAAATTAGAGGTAGCAGTAGTATAATGGAAAGAATATTGGATTTAGTGTCTGAGAACCTTTCTGATACCTGCTTTGCTGCTTAGTAACTTCATGCCCTTGGGCAAATAAATCACTTAACTTCTTTGGGCAGCTGTTTCCTGTCTGCAAAATGAAGGAGCAGCAATTGGACTGAGTGATCTCTAAGGGATCTTTTAGCACTTAATCCTGTGGTCTTGAAAGTAATCTGTAAGTTAAAAATAGCACTAGATTAATTTGACATTTGCTCCTATGACAATACTAGTTAGTTGTTGAGTTGTTTGCCGTGTCAGACTATTCATGACCTCTTTGGGGATTTTCTTGGCAAAGATACCAAAGTGGTTTGCCATTTTCTTCTCCAACTCATTTTACAGATGAGGAAACTGAGGCAAACAGGGTGAAGTGACTTGCCCAGGATCATACATCTAGTAAGTATCTGAGGCCAGATTTGAATTCAGAAAGATAAGTCTTCCTGCCTTCAGGCCTGGCATTCTATCCGCTGCACCTAATACCAGTTAAGGGTATTATTAATGTATTCACTTCATTGTGTAACTATAAGGTCCTTTTGTTAATGATTCCTTTACATAGTGCTGTTCAGATGGCTTAATTTTTAAGAAGTTTGAAGGATTTTGTTAATTTAATGTACCTGTGTTAGATTTTATATATATGTAGGCAATTCCTGAAAAGTTTGTGTTGAGGAATCGGCTGGTAGAACAAATGGCAGGAAAAAATCTCTCCTTCAAAAATATCAAGCCTTAGGCAGGCTTGGGAGGCTAGGTATTCTGTACTTGGTTGTGACCAAGGTTTAGAAGTGTTTAGAAGTAGAAAGGACACTAGAGGTTATTCTCATTTTAAAGATAAGAAACACAAAACCCAGAATGGTTATGTGATTCAGTCAAAATCAGTGATTTCAACCCAGAGCCTCTGACTTCAGAAACAGTTCTCCTATTATATCACACACTGCCTCCATGATTAGGGTCTTCTGGCTCTCTTAAAATCCTATTTGTTGGTTGTATATGTATTGGACTTTGAGGATTGTAGGCCTTTGAGTTGAAGTTCAGGTGACTTGACCTGAGGTCTTTCTGACTCCAAGCTCAGTATTCTATCCTTTGTATCACATAACTGCCTAGGTTGTTAGATTATGGCACAAGTCTTTGAAACCTAAGTGATTTCCTCTATTTCAGTTTTTTCTGTGTTTTTTTTTCTTTTTTGGCACAGTATTTAGTTAATGTAAAATGTCGATTCATAAACTCATAAGATTTTTAGAGTAAGAAAGAACATTAGAGGCCTTACTGTAATTAATCCTACTGACTCATTTTACAAATAAGAAAACTGAGACCTTGAGAGGTTGAGTAACTTAACCCAAGATCACACAGGTTGAAACTAGCATTAGAGCCCAGGCAGTCTAACTCCAAATCTAGTGCTTTCAGCACTTCTCAAATTATAACTTTTGTAAATAAAATCTAATCAACACAGCTTAAAAATAGTCATATCACCATCAAAAGGGAATCCTGGCTGCAGAGGCAAATCAT